AAAATGTTTGTTTTTTTTTGTAATCCATGATTGAAATGTTTGTTTTTTTTTTGTAATCCATGATCGAATTTTTTGTTTTTTGCTTTTTTTGTAACCCATGATAGAGTTTTTTGTAATCCATGATTGAATTTTTTGTGATCCATGATCGAATTGTTTTTTTCTTTTTTTGTAATCCACGATTGAATTTTTTGTTTTTTTTGTAATCCATAAGCGAATTTTATGTAATCCATGATCGAGTTTTTTGTAATCCATGATAGAATTTTCTGTAATCCATGATCGACTTTTTTGTAAATTTGTGATTTTTTTTTTTTAATCCATGATCGAATTTTTTTTTGTAATCCATGATAGAATTTTTTGAAAATTTATGATTTTTTTTTTTTAATCCATGATCGATTTTTTTTTGTAATCCATGATAGAATTTTTTGAAAATTTGTGATTTTTTTTTTTAATCCATGATCGATTTTTTTGAAAATTTGTTTTTTTTTTTTTAATTCCATATTATTCAAAGATAAAATGAGAGAGATGATGATTCAGATGCCACCCTATCCCAGCCATATTATTCACATATCAAGTCCCAACAGCAACAGTGTAGGGATGAGCACGACAGTGCAGGTGAGCATGAATGATGGACAATCTTTGGGGATTTTAGATTGGGAATACAACGAAACACTAACACTCAGAGATTTGGGAATAGTCAGACGCCTGCTAATATCGATGATTCGTTTTTAGATCGAATCAATGAATTGTTAAACGAATTCAATCAATGGCACCAGCGTGACCAAGAAGAACAATAACATCTTCTATCATTTTATTTTTAGATCATATGTTACTAATTTTATGCTTTATTGTAGTCCATTTATGTTGATATACTTATTCCATAATAATTATATGTTTATCCTTTTGTGTGATGTAAATTAAAAGCTGAATGGCAAAAGAACATATCAATATTCGCATATTCATTCAAAAACATGTAAATTCTTAATGGAGTACCCTCATTTCTTATTGAATTCTTAAAAAACAATATTTATAATGAATTTTAATAATTTTTTCGGATTTTTTTAAGCTTTATTCTGACCGATTCACCCGATTCCCGATCCTGATCGTCGATTCGTCGATCCGGATCGATTTTTTGGAAGCCCGATCCGGGTCACCGATCCGTTTTTTAAACCATTGGTTTCATCTAACGAACCTAGTCAAATGTGATATAAAGTTTTAGGTTACAAACTTTGATCGGCACAATTATAAATTTGAAAAATAAAATAAAATATTTGAACATCACAAATAGTTAATCTAATATTTTATTTTGTTAATTTTTTATCGATTAGTTAGCTGACCCCAATTAGTTGGGAAAAAGCTTTGACGATGATGAATTATATGTAGATCAATAAATCTACATTATTTATTGAGCTACAAAGTTATAGATCTAAAGCATAAACACATTTAGAGTGACTCGGTTTATATATTAGATACTAAATCCACGAAAAAATAACATTTATGAATGCACAATAAAAGTTTTCCTTAAGGGCTCGTTTGTCTTATTAGATTCAGATTTTCAAGTATCATTTTTTCTAGAAAAGCCGGGCCAATCGTGTTTTTTTCACTTAGAATTGATATTTCCGTTGGAATTTAGTTTTCCATGGGATTCCTGAATGTTCATTTTAAGCCTAAATTTTAGAAATCCCACCAAAATAGATGGAATTTACATTTCATGGAAAGATTCATGTTGATACTGAAGAACAAAAAAACTATTAAAATTTTAGAGAGAGAAATATATCAAATTTTAAAGAGAGAATATATTAAAATTTTAGAAAGGGAAATTATATCAATCTTTAGAGAGATAAAGTATATGAATTTGTTTAGAGAGTGAAAATATACAATTTTTTTTATAGAGAGAAATAACCTGAATTTTTTAGAAAAAGAAACTATCTCAAATTTAAAGTTTTAGGGAGACCATATGAAGATTTAAAGAGATAAACTATTTCAAATCTTAAATTTTAGAGAGAGATAAAGTATCTTAAAATTTTTAGAATTAAACTATCTCAAATTTTAAGTTTTAGATAGAAAAAGTACTTCAACATTTTAGAGAGAGAAACTACATCATATTTTAGAGAGAGAAACTATATGAAATTATTAGAGAGATAAACTATCTCAAATTTTAAAATTTAGATAAAAAAGTATCTCAAAATTTTAGAGAGAGAAAGTATATCAAATTTTAGATAAATAAACTATCTCAAAATTTTTAGAGAGATAAATTATTTCAAATTTTTAAGTTTTTGAAAGAGTGTATATTTAAATTTTAGAGAAAAATTTTAGAGAGAGATACCATCTCAAAATATTCAGAGATAGAGAGAGAAAGGACTTGCATTTCCATAAAAAAAGATATTCCATAATAGGGAATTTGCATTTCCTTGATACGATCCAAACAACATACATCATATTCTAAAAAATGTCAATTCCAGTAAATCTCAACTCTAAAATTGACTTTTTCAAAGATTGAAAAATCCAGATCCAAACTGGCCCTAAATTTCATAAAACGATGATGGACAAGTGACCTATATTTGCCTAAAAGCTATAATTAATTTGTCTATTTGAGAACTGACGGTAGACTGGTGTGTATTGTGAACCACGCTTCAGACGTGTATGGTATACCTTACCTACACATGATTCTTGTTTTCTTTTTATTGTGTGGAAGGTAGTTCAGCTATTTCGAGCTTGGGAGGACGTGTATGGTTTTTACCGTTTCAAAAAAGAAAAAAGAAAAAGAGGTCTTGTATGGTTTATATCTATTCATGTGCCATGTTTCTCTCAAGGACGTGTGATAGGTTGCATTCGTTGTTTGAAAAACTGCCCGATCTAACCGGTAATCGCCGGTTAGATCGGAATCGGTTTCTTGTTAGTTTCGGTTTCAGATGGTTTTGGTAATTGGTCGGTATTTTAAAAATAAAAATTTTTAAAAAATATTTATAAAATCTAAAAAACAATGAATTTGATTTGTTACAAATATTAAAAATTATTTTAATCATTAATACTCACTTTTAAAATCTATTTTTCATTAATTTTTAATTTTATTTTAATATATTTTGTTTTAATCATTATTTATATGCTTTTTATATTTTAAAATTTTTTTTTCCGATCGAGCC